TTACTACTGTGTGAACACTTGCTTGTGCACTTGTTGTAGACCCTTTGGCTCTACCGAACCTCACCCCGTCTAAGTCAACCTTCAGTCTGAGGAGTCCCTTTCAGTGGTAGGGGACCGAGATTCGTCACACGTTGCTTACTCACTTTGGTCACTGTCACGGACTTGACTGAAGGTCATCATGCCGCCTAGCAACACCAACACCGGCAACACCAGTGCCCCCCCCAACTACAACGATGCCCAGGGAGCAAACACCCCTGTCACCATGGCCCAGGTTCAGCAGCTCCTGGCCCAGACCAACAACCGTATTGCGCAGCTGGAGGCTGAGAACGCTCAACTCCGCAACGCTGCCGTCACCAAGGCCAAGCTGGAAGCACCCCCCAAGTACGGAGGCAACAAGGAGGACCTCGCCGGATGGCTTGTTCAGATGCAGGCCTACCTCCTGTACTACACCGAGCGGTTCGCCAACGAAGCCTCAAAGGTCGCATTCGCAGCATCCCGTCTGGAGGGCAAGGCACTCAAGTGGTTCGAACCGACCCTGAAGGACTTCCTGAAGAATCCCGACCGAGACGACCAGGAAGACTTCACTCAGCATGTATTCCAGCGCTATGAGCGGTTCGAGGAGGAGATCCACAAGGTGTTTGGTGAGGTGGATGAAAAGTTGCACGCCCAGGAACGACTTGCACGACTCAAGCAAACCAAGTCGGCCTCAGCTTATGCCACTCAATTCCGACAAGATTCGCTGAGGGCTGAGATCAACGAGGAGGGGCTGATGCAACTGTTCTATGATGGACTCAAGGAGGAAGTCAAGGACGAATTGTACATGATGGATCGACCTGACTCCCTGGATGAGTACATCGCCATGGCGGTTCGGATCGACGAACGCCTGTATGCGCGCAAGCAACAGCGCAGGGGACATGGCGGAGTACCTCAGACGTACAAGGTGAACGACAAGAAGCAGCGCCGAGGAAACACGTCTTACGGAACGCACCCGGGCAGGATGGATGTAGACGCAGCTCAGGCTCAGTGGGCTGGTCCGAGCAACGCCAAGAAAGACAAGACTGGCATCACCTGCTACAATTGCGGAAAGAAAGGACACTTCAAGAAGGAATGTCGCAGTCCACGCAAGGACTGGAAGCCTGTCCCAGGGAAGGAAGTTGCAACCGTCACTCGAGGAGCAAGGGTCACAGAGGTCGCAGCTGCCAACTACGCTGACGAACACACTGAACGATACCTGAACCCTGTTCCCGAAGAAAGAACGCTGGAGACGGACGACACCGGGGAAGTCGCACCCCCAGCACACGTCCAGGAGACGGCAAGGACGTGGGGACTCCCATTGGTCCAAGACTCGGATGGACGATGGAGGGTCCGCAGTGCAGGAGATGAGCAGGAAGGACCGAACGTCGTCTATCTGCAGAAGCGAGTAATCGAACTGCGAGAACGCAACGCTGAACTCGACGATGAAATCCACAAGCTCGAGCAGAAACTCGCTGACCAAACATGGGAACGCAACCCCAGCACCAACTACGACGGACCATCGACATGGGGATTCGAACATGAAACGTTGGAAGGATTGCGCCAACCCGAGACCGAATACAACGAGATGTGGGAACGAGAACGGTGGGCAGGGCGCGCACCGCCCACATGGGAAGAGTACTGGCAGTGGCGTCAGTACATCAGCACCGGCCAAACCACGCAAGAAATTGAAGCACAAAGGTACGGACCAGACTTCACCTACGTGGTGGGGGATGCACCACAGCTCTGGAAGGGAACAAACAACCATCGTTTTGCCCCATGGTTCCAGTGTGTGGACCACCACTGCCGATACCACTTCAAGGACAAGCACGATTTCAACCATTGGCCAGTTAGGGGAACGACACCACAGGGCTTGCAAAAGCCAGTGACATGGACGTTCCACCACGGGAAGGGGAACGACGACGACTTGTGGTATGTGGCCAAAGTCAACGACAAAACATTCCGAGTGTGGCCACTTCGGGCATGGCCAGCGGCATGCCAGGCACACGGGAACTACAAGCTATGCAGGGATGCTACCTGTATAAGGCACATCGCCGAGAAAGTCCAAGAATTCCACGAGCGGAAGGCCCTGGCATGGGAACCAGGCACCTACCGACGACGAAGGCGTGGAAGCCCACGATGGGAAGAAGCACGCATCAACTGGCTTCGAGAAAATGCCACGCTGGGCGAAGGCATTGAGGAAGGGGACGCCTTTCCTACATCGGAACAGTCGACCGAGCTACAAACCCAGTTGGGAAACGGCTCAGGGCCCTTCGAGGGGCCCGGAAGCGCTTAAGTCCCGAACAGAGGCGACAGGCCGCGCAGTGCAGGAAGAGCTGGCGCAGACGAAAGGCCTATCTCGACCCGCCAATCGAATGGCTGGGCATGCAACGAGACTCCAAGGAAGTTGCAGCAACGCACACAGGGAGACCCGACAACCGATTGTGGGTCACAGCGCGCTGGAAGGAGTTCCAGGCACTTGCATTGGTAGATGGAGGATCGCAACTTGACCTCATCTCACCCAAATTCGTCAATCAACTACGAATCCCGTGGAGACCCAAGGAGGAGTCCCACATCGTCACAGGACCATTTGACACACAATGGGTCCGGAGAGAAACAGAACCACTTGACATCGAGGTGGAGGGGAAAACCACCCAAGTGATATTCGACATCGTGGACATGGGACCAGAGAAAGATATGATTCTCGGACGACCCTGGCACGAGGAGTATGACCCAGACATCAGTTGGAAGGGAGGTGGCCACCTGCGACCGCGAGACACGCCGTCGCATCCAACCAACGTGATGGGAGACGCGCAAATGGAGCCGCGGAGAGGTAGTACGCAGGACAAGGCGTTACCCACGGGCCCACCGCAGGAACTGAGCAGTGGCAGTGAGACCACGACAGGATCCGGAAGAGGCGGCATACGACGATCGAAGCAGACACGGGCAAGCAAGGAAATTGCCGTAATCTCAGTCGACGAACAAGGACAACTCGAATTTCAGCAATGGGTCACTGG